GCGTCTAGCTGGTGTTGGAATGAACCTCTAAGAGCAGGAGGTGTGGCAGCAGCAGGGCTCCGCCTGAAGGAAGTCTTCCCAGGAAGGGGCAAGTATCTGTGCTGCCTGCTTCTCCTGGGCACTGGAAATCAAACCGTCGCCCCAAACCCTGCCTAGTCAACAGTCAGCCATAGTTGGACTTCAGATTACTTTCTTGTGTGCTTCTCTTTGGCTAACATTGAAGTCAACCTCCATCCTCATGAGTGGGTAGGGGGGACGGAACACTGGGAATATGCTGGGGGAAGGGAGGGAGAAGTTGGCCAGAGAGCCAACAGTGTGCTGGGTGCAACCTAGAGCTGATGACTTTCAAGGGCACCTCCCGCTGTGAGTGTCCCTGACCAACCCCTCTTCCCTCCCCTCCTCCTCACCCGCCATCCACAATCTCGTCCAGCACCAGAAAGGCTCCGTCCATGTTCTCCAGCAACCAGCGCTTCTCCACGTTCTTCCTGAAGGCAGACACAGCTCTGGAACCTCCCCATGGCCAGGAGAAGCCGGGTCCCTGCCTAGGTGAGGCGGACCCGCTCTCTCCAAAGATTGCGTTATTTCCCACCGCCAATCCCCCACACAAGCACAGGGAAGGAGAATGTCAAGGGCAGTGAGGGCAGCACCTGGGCAAGGGATCCCTGCCCAGAGCACAGGTCTGCTTCCTTAAGCTCCCCTTGCCCACCGCCCTCACACTTTGAGCAGGGACCCTGTGCCCACCCTTAAGCATTTCATAGCACTTCAGGTGCTATAGCCTTACTGTAGTTAATTGTGTCGACTGTGAACATTTATCTTTGGGTTATCTGCGTTTGGTTTACCCAGGCCGCGTTCACTGGGGTAGATACCAGATCACTGAATGGGGGTGGAGGGAAAATCACCCTGAGCTTCAAGTCAAAAGACCTGAGTTTGAATCTCTGCTCTGATATAAATAGCTTGTAACCTCAGGCAAATCACTTAGTTTCTCTCGACCTCATTTTCTGGCCATACCATTGCTTGATCAGGTAAAGGGCAGGGTCCTTGCAGAAGGATGCTCTGGCTCCAGCCTTAGTCTTGTGGGGACTTCAGGAGAAAAGAGCAGGGAGGAAGGGTCCCGCCTCTGTGATGTACCAAGGTCTGGGGGATGGGAGCCTTGGAGGATAGAGGACCTCACTCACCTTAACACATGGTTCAGGGACTCAAACAGGCAGGTAAGAACAGACATGAGCATCAGCTGGGGGTGGGCAGATAATGGGAGGAGAAAAACGAGAGAGCTTGAGGTTAAGAAGGCTAAAAGGAAACCTCAGAGCCTGACTGTGTGGGCAGCTGTCCCTCTTCAGAGAGGACATGGCTGGAGCCTGACTGCAGTTTGACCTGAGAGGGCCCCTTCCCTCCCCATGTTTGGGTTGGAAGCACTGGAGTGCCTGCTGTGGGACACTGAGTACATCCTTCTCCAGTGATGTTTAAGACACAGAGGCCTCTGAGGACTCCATTTCTGGTACCCAAGGAATCTAAGGAACATCATGGATATGCACTGTTCCAGAAAGAACCATTCTGGCTGCTCCCAGTTCCCCAGAGTCTAGAAGGAGGGGTACCACTGGTGAGCTTCCCAGCTTCCACCCCAGGATCCAAGCCTCCTTGTCACTCCAACCTCCTGAATTCACCTCGTTCTCGTAGGATGAGCCCACCACATACAGGAAGAGGTCAGTGCCGCTCTTGTAGACGATGGTCACGCCCCCGAAAAATGCAATCTCACCTAGAAGAGCGGGGGGGGGGTCTCAGTTCTGGTCACCTCTGCCTGGCCCCTCCTCCCCGTCTCCAGCTCTGCGCCTCTTGCCCTATTTCCTTCTTCCCCTTCCAGAGAGCCCTTGCAAAGGAAATTCCCTGGCGGTCCAGTGGTTAGGACTCCGCACTTTCACTGCCAAGGGCCTGGGTTCAATCCCTGGTCAGGGAATTAAGATCCCACAAGCTGTGAGGCCAAACAAACAAAGAACCCTTGCAAAGACTAGCACCCTTGAAAAGACACGCACTAGGGACACTACTATTAGGCTACTCTGTGTCCCTCCCCCCACCCTCTACTCCATTCCCAGCACTTGACTGCCTCATTCTAAGAAGTCAACAAACCTGGGTCAAGGCTGACCTTTCGCCCACCATACGCAATGCCTAAGACCAGCCCCAGGCTAGTGCGGGCCCCTTCCACTGAGAGAAGTCCAGGCATGCCGTAGGCAGGAAGAGGGGGGTTGAGAGGGAGGGGAGTGAAGGCTCACGGGAAGAAGAGAGAAGAGAACAGCTGGGAAGGAGAGGAAAAAGCACCTCTGAAGAAAAGGGAATGGCCTGTGGGTGTGTGAGGCCGACGGGGACACATGTGTCCAGATGAAGATGACGGTGTGCATCTGAAAGTTCTGCACGAGCAAGAGGCAGACGCTTACTATCAGTCCGGCTGGTCTTGTTGAAGACATTTTTCTCGAAGGCCATCTGCTCCTTCATGGAGGGGAACGTGTCGTCGTAATACTAGGTGAAAGGGAAGGAGAAAAGGTGACAGCTGTTCCACAGAGCTTCCTCCCTGGATGGGTGGCAGGGAATGGTGGGTGCTGGCCAAGCGGGACCCTGCTGCCGTGCCCCATCTTCTCTTGACCGCCCTCTAGGCCTGTCTGCTCGCTGTTTCCCCAGAAACACAAATTCTGAGCAAACAGAGGAATTTTGAGGCCTTCTCGTGGAGTCCTGTCCTGATTTCTTGAAGGCCTTTGTACATTCCACAGATGTGCAGTGTGCTAAAGACTGCGGTGGTCACTAGGCCACACTGTTTCTACACTAACCTGAGTCTACAGGAAAGAAGGCAGAGCCAGGGACCCTTTAACACAATAATATCACAACAGCTACTTTATCATCCACATTATATGGATGTGGAAACTGAGGCGTGAAGTCAGGTAACTTCCCTGACATCTCACAGTTGTAAGGGACAGAGCTGGGATTGAACACCAACAGTGGTCTGACTTCAGACAGGGTTATGGTGAAGATGAAATATCTAAGGGAAAGTTCCTGGCACACACTGCCTAATTAAGTCAATGCTGTTTTGTTTGGGTTCGATGAGACTCTCTCTCTGACTTAGTTCCTGCATCTGAACATGGATGTGATCTGCTGGGAGGGGGCCCTGGAACCTCTGGTTGCCGAGACACCTCTGACCAGCTGCAGCAAGAGAGGGTCAGCTCAGCTTTCAATTTTCTGAATGTGGATTTTGCCACTTAGTACCCCATCTGCAGGCAAATTAGCAGTCTCCCTGCCGGCCACTGCTGTGGTGAACAAGCTCATTTCAATGTCATGAAGTCAAAAAGTTTCAACCCATACAAACGAAAAATCTATAATGCATTTTGTAGCTAGCTGAGGTGCCGTAGTCCTACTATGGTTAACTGTGTTGATGGGAGACATTTATTTCCGGGTTATTCTAGTTTGGTTTATCCTGGCCACGTTCACTAGCATAGATACCAGATAGTTGAATAGTTGGTGCGGTGAAAACCACCCTCCTGAGCTTCAGGTCAAAATACCTGAGTTTGGATCTATGTTCGGATATTACTACCTGTGACCACAGGCAACCCTTTTAGCTTCTCTAGACTGCATTTTCCTCATTTGTGAAATGAAAGAATTGGATTATATAGTCTCTAAAATCTTGTCTGGTTCTAAATCCTTAGTGTTTACCAAGCTGTAGAAGAAAAGTGGAGGTTACTTGTTCAGAATTTGGGGACTAGGACTCTGAGGTCCCAGGCCAGTGGAAAAGATGGTGAGAAGACATTTTAGGGAACATTTTAGAAACAGAGGAGACAGCCCCACCCCCTTTCAGGGGTCAGCAGTCTGACAAGGTAGGAGGATGGACAGAATGGCTTTTGGAGGAGTCTCAGCTGAGGTGCTCTGAGTCGCAGAGCCCACAGTGGGGTGCCTCCTGCCAGGAGAGGCAGCTTGGTGGGGACTTCTGTTCTTGGGCCTGTGGCACAGTGTCTTCAGGGGCCCTCTGGTGAGGGTGGGAGGTTACCTTGGCCAGCAGGCGGTGTCCGTCATTATCTAGGATGAAGACAGCCTTGATGGTGTAGAGGGAAGGTTCCTGCAACTGACACGGGGCGGGGTGGGGGGGGAGAGCTCCGTTGGCCCCTAATTCAGGGTAGACCTCCTGTCATTGGCTCTACGGGACCTTATGGTCCCAAGAGTCAATCCTCAGGCTCCAGCGACCCCACCCCCAAAGGTCCACAGCTGGTTCCGGCCCAACCCTGTGCCACATGGGCCACTCGGGTGCCCGCTCCCCTCCCAGGCAGATGGTCCACTGCAGGCCCCGGGTGGGCGCTGTGCCCACTGGGTGCGGAAGGTCCGTCCGGGCCCAAGTTCTGTCATGCACTGACTGCTCCAGAGCCCGAGTCGGAGTGTATCACAGAACCTGGGCCGGGGGGACAGCGGCGCCGAGCCTCCTCCTCCAGCGGCCAGCGGCCAGCGGCCAGCGGCCGAGGCTGGACCCGCGCTCTCCGCGCGCCCCCAGCCCCCGGCCCGTCGGACTCCAGAAGCACGCACGTCAGCCCGAGGCCCGGGGCGGCCCCGCGGCTCCCTAACCCTCCGGGAGAATCGCAATCCAGCCCCGCCGAGCCGTGCGCCCGCCCGCGCCGACTGCTCCAGAACTTCGTCCAAGCGGACGCCAGACCGGCCTCCTCCCGAGTCCGCGCGGAGGAACTTTTCTGCCTGCGCGGGCGCCGCTCCTCCCCGGCCGGTCCGGGCGGCACCAAGTTCCCCAGCGCCCAGCGGGCGACTTGTGAGCTGGCGCCGCCCGCTCGGCCCCCGGTGCCGCCCGCTCCGTACCCGCAGCCCCGCGGGCTCCCGGCCTCGGGCGGGCGGCGCCGGGCCCCCGGCCGGGGCGGCCGCGGCCCCCTCCCCCGGGTGCGGACGTGGCCAGGCCTCCGGCCGCTGCATTCCGCTCGCCGCCTCGCGCTGACAGCGCCGCCCTACCCCGCCCCACGCCCCCCGGGGCCGCCGCCCGCTCCTCCCCGGCAGCCGCCGGCCTCGCGTCCGCCCCTCTCTGCCCGTCTGCGCGTGTCCTTCCTTTCCCCGCGGCCCTTCCCTCCTCGTCCTCCCTCCTCTCCTCTCCGTTCCCGCCCTCTCCGCCTTGCGCCCACACCCCAGGGCTCCTTCCCCCACCTCTCCTTCCCCTCGCCCTCCTCGTCTCCTCAAAGCCCACAGCTCCCCGCATCCTCCGTTTGTCCCAGGACCGGCCCCTCTTTCCCCTCCTGCCTTCTGACTTGTGGGTTTGGTTTGCACCGACGTCCGCAGGCTGTCCTGAGGCCAAAAGAAAACACAGGCAAAGTCCAGTTTGTCTTTTGACTCCTGGTAGGTACCGTTGGGACAAATATATCAGGTCATCCTTTGGGTCTCAGAGACAGGTTCTAGCAGTGGGAGCAGATGAGGGCAGCTCTTAGAGAGACCCCTCTGCGTAGAAGAGTTTCTCCCACTCCTCTCACGCGACTTGGGTTAGGGAGCCATGGCGCCCGGACGCCGTGGCAGAAGTCTCCCAAGACACAGACACGACACAATCTGAAACAAGACAGATGCCTAGCAGCACAAAGGCTTCACCAGTGAATGGCATCAGGCTTTGCCACGCTTTGGTTCCTTTGGCCTAAGTACCAGAGGACAAGCTGTAGCTTCAGCGTCCTCAAGGCCAGTGGGAAATTCCCACTCCAACGGTACAGAGTTTACAGTACTTATCCATTTACCTATCACAATACCAGGCATGCATTTTACACTTAAGACTTTTCCCGTACATTATCTGATATAACTTACACCTGTGAGGTAGGTGTTGTCATCCCCATTTTAAGCAAAGGGAGACTCAGAGTTTGTGTGATCTTTCAAGATCCTTCAGCTAATCAACAGTTGAATGGAGGTGGAACCCAGAAATTCAGACTAAGAATTTCTTCTCCATTCTTCTCTTCAGGTCCTTTGATGTTGGGTACCACACTCACTCATCCCAGGTGACTGGGGAATGGGGGTTTCCTCTGCTGAATGGTTTCAAGCCATCTCATTCTTCATCTCAACTTCAATGTCATCTACCAAAAGGCCTTCTCTGACAACCACCGAATCTGACTGGGTAGGTCTCTGCTGTCACATTCTCTGTCTCAGCACCCTACATATTTCTTTTGTTGTATTTAATCTCCAAATAACATTTTTACTAATTTGTTTACAAATGTGTGTGGTCCTTCTCTGCATCAGGCATTGTGTACTACAAAAATAGAGATAATGTGCCTGTGGAATCCCTGGTGCCCCAAAGAGGACACATGACAGGTCCAGTGAAACCATGTTTTATGTGCTATACAAATATTTGAGTGCTTCCTATGTGCCAGTTACTTTTTTAGTCACTGGGATGCAACAATAGCCAAGGTAAACAAAATCTTTGCTCTCATGGAGCTTATTCAAGTGTTTGTGTGTGTGTGTGTGTGTGTGTGTGTGCATTTCTGTGCAAGACATAATACGCAGATAAATGAATAAAATAGATATTATTTGAATTGCTGGTAAGCACTATGAAGAAAAATAGATCAGGAATGGGTATCAGGAATGTGAGGGGTTGGGGAGAGGCAGGGAAAAATGCCATTTTCATTAGGGTCATTTGAGAAAGCCTTCAAGAAGGTGACATTTGAACAAAGAGCTGAAGGAAGTGAGGGGGCGAGCCACACGTGTCTGAGGAAACGTGTACTGAACCTCTTTATGATGATTTAGAAGGCACATCTGAATCTTCCCTGCAGGCTACCAGAGTTATAATAATGAACATTAATCAATGCTATTTGGTATAATGGAGGAAAAGACAGTATTTTAATTGCTTGGATTCCAGATGATCAGAAGTTATGTCAATGGTCATGCCGGCTCAATGTTATTAAAAATACTAATTTGGGGCTTCCCTGGTGGCACAGTGGTTAGGAATCTGCCTGCCAAGGCAGAGGACACGGGTTCGAGCCCTGGTCCGGGAAGATTCCATGTGTCGCGGAGCAACTAGGCCCGTGGGCCACAACTACTAAGCCTGTGCTCTACAGCCTGCAAGCCACAGCTACTGAGCCCGTGTGCCACGATTACTGAGGCCCGCGTGCCTGGAGCCGGTGCTACGCAGCAAGGGAGGCCACTGCAGTGAGAAGCCCACGCACCACAGCGAAGAGTGGCTCCCACTCGCTGCAGCTAGAGAAAGCCCACGTGCAGCAAAGACCCAAAGCAGCCAAAAATAAAATAAATTAAAAAAAAAGTACTGATTTGATTATTTCGATGCTTTAATATTTCTGTGAGCTCGTCCATTATTAGCTCATATTTACAGCGACAGCACCAAAAAGCCTCCAGGGGCATCTCCTAGCCTCTGTGTAGTGAATGGTACCCACAGTGGGAGAGGGTCAGCTTGCAGAAGGAGAGGAAGACCTGGGAAGACAGGGGACTTAGAGAGCAGGAGTGGTTCCGGGGAGAGGAGGGGGAGGAATTAGTTACAGCAGAGTGGCTGAGAGGCACTGAGGGGGGCAGAGGGGCTGGGGATGAGAGAGAAGGCCAGGGAAGGAAGCTTAGGAACCGAAAACTCCTTAGCACCACCAGCACCACCACCACCACCAGGGATGCTATCGTTATCATTATCAGGATCGCTTTACAGCTTAAGTGCCGTGGTGAATAAGTAAATCCAGAGCACTCAAGTTGAACTTCTCAAGGAAGAGATTTCCTCCTATGATGGCTCCTTCCCAAACTCCCTCAACAGAGACCCCAGGACTCCTTTCCTTCCTCAGGGTCCCTCAACCTGGGCTGCCCCTTTAGTGGGGATTCTGTGTAAACATACAAGTTCAGTGTGCACGGTGTCAGGACAATGTCCCCCACAGACCACAGCCTTACAGTGTAAGGCTGGCAGCACGTGGGAAGCCTGCAAGTGCAGCAGAAAAGAAGCTGCTGGTGAGCTTCTCAGAATGAGGAAGCCAGAGCTGGGTTCAAAAAGAGAGCCGCTTGCTGTTTCCCTGTTCCCTCCTTCCTTGAGAAGGGGCAGGGTGCCCTGGGAGGAGGTGCTGTGTGCATCTCTAAGCAGCTGGGGTCTGTGGAGAAGCTGGACTCAGAATTGGTCCTAAACACACACACACACACACACACACACACACACACACACACGTCTCTGCCCTTTGGAGTCTCCAGGAGGTTAGTGGTTCCCCTCTGGGCCTTGATGTATCTTGAAGGTGAGACCATTCCATTTCCTCTGACTCACCCTCCTGCTGCCACATTTCTGTGCTGTCTGTCCTAGGATTTCAGCATCTGTTCTTGTGTGACAAGAAGAAACAGCTCCCTTGGGTAACAGCCTTTCTCTCTCCTTCCTGCTATAATGTCAAGAGGGGGAGGTGTGTGTGCAATGTGAGGTGTGGTTGTGTGTGCTTGTGGCGTCCTCCAGAGAGAAAACGAAAGCTTCCATGCTCTGTCTGCAGGATGAGTTTCCAGTTGACCATCCTAAAGACAGCTCTCATTTCTTCAATGTGCTTGGCTTTCTCTGGGATAACAAGGTTGTAGGGTGGGTGGAGAGAGAGCTGGGCAAGAAAGGGACCTCACGCTTAGCTCTACCCATGCATGAATGACTTTATACACAGGATCCGATTTTTAAACTTTGTGAATATGTATATTGTTATCTCCATTTTAGCTCAGGAGGGCCCAACTAGTAAGTTTTGGAACGCAGCTCTGAGTCCAAAACACCCACTTTTCCCACCTCACAATAGCACCTCACTGACTGTGACATGCCACACTGAGAGCATGACAACATGAATGACCAAAGAAGCGTTTTCATTGGGTAGGTCCAGGAAGAGAACACGTTAGGACTGAGAAAGAGCACATCGTAAAATCAGGTGGTGATTCTGGTCCGCACTCATGATTACCACTGCTGTGCTTTTTTACTCAACTTGGATTCTTGCCCCCAAGCTACTGATTCTCTACTCTGGCTGCATATAAGAATCACCTAAGGAGCTTTTACAAAATCCTGATGTCCAGGGCTGCTCTGGGAGACTCTGATTTAATTAGTTGGGGGGATGGGACCTGGGCAAGCCCCCCAGGTGATTCTAATGTGCAGCCAGGGTTGAGAAGCAATCTTCTAAGACAGCCATGGGAGAGGTGCACAGGGAAGAGACTGGCTTGTAGAACCTCTTTTGATGGTTTAATGGTAACAAGCTTGCTAATCATGTTTACCATGTAAGAAAGGGGGTATTGACAGGATGTAATGCTAGAATCTCTCAGAAGGGCGTTAAGGAAATCTCAGGCAGTCATTTTATCCATTCCCCTTGATTAGTTGGAAATTGGAGAGTGAGAAATATTTATATAGGTTAACAACATTTAAAAACATTTTTAAAGAAAGGAAAACTAATGGGTGAGCAGAATAGCAGAAAGATTGGGTTTCCCCTTTGGGGAAAAAGCAATTCCTGCTATTCCAGAAGAACTCCAAACCACAGCCAGTCTGCCTTCCCACATACCCTTCTCTGAGGGTTTCTGGACAGGAGTCATCATCACAGGATGTTTGGAGGATGGATGTGCCTGCCCGATGGCAGCAACAGCTTTTCCTACAGAGGAAGGTGGGTCAACGTAGATATCACTGGGACGAGTAGGATTTCAGTGTAGTTAGCTGGCTTTCTTTCATGACCCCAAATCCCTGTGCATTAGAACAAACCAACTTCCTGGCTTCCCACTGCCTTCTCTCCTGAGCAGTCTGGAGCCTCCCTGGCAAGACCTGGTTCCACTGTTGGCTCTCAGCCTCTCCCTCAGGGAGCAAGTGCATGCACTCACTTTTTCCAGTGGTCCTCTCAGTCTGATTTAATGGATCTACCAGGACTGATGACACATCAGCATGGGATCTTTCTTTTGCTTCTTGGGTAATTGTCCTATTAACAGGTGTTCCCGGGAAAGGGGGGGGGGGGGGGGGGGGGGGGAGGAGGGTGGCTTCCTGGGTGAAGAAGGACACACCCTGGATTTTACAAGGTTAATCAGTGGGTTCTGGGAAGGAGGTTTACACCTGCTCAGACTTGATCTGGAACTCTAGACAGCGTGGAAGACGGTCTTTCGATCTCCACTCCCTACACAGAGTACTATTAAATATCCTGGGTGCCTACACCCTGCCAGGCCTCACTGCTGGCTGCTGAGATTTTCTCTACGTCTCTGTGCTCCTCAGCCCTTGCAATGGGCTAGCAATTCTTTGTCTTTCCCATTTCTCTTCCCACCTTTCCGGAACTGCTAAGCAGAAGACTTTTTCTAACTACCCCTAGTCATTCTTTTTTTTTTCTCCTAGTCATTCTTTAACCCAATAATACAGTTCCTGATCCAGCTCTCTCCCACTTTACACTCAAATAATTATTATACACATTTAAACATAGTACTTGAAGTTGGGAGGCAAAAGAAAGGGAACACGATAGTGTGGGCAAAAGACCTCTCCACACCTTTCCCACCCCTTCTCTAAGGATTTTTTTTTTTAACATCTTTATTGGAGTATAATTGCTTTACAATGGTGTGTTAGTTTCTGCTTTATAAGAAAGTGAATCAGCTATACATATACATATATCCCCATATCTCTTCCCTCTTGCGTCTCCCTCCCACCCTCCCTATCCCACCCCTCTAGGTGTTCACAAAGCACCAAGCTGATCTCCCTGTGCTATGCGGCTGCTTCCCACTAGCTATTGGTTTTACATTTGGTAGTGTATATATGTCCATGCCACTCTCTTACTTTGTCCCAGCTTACCCTTCCCCCTCCCCATGTTTCTCTAAGGATTACCATGGAGCCCCTCCTTTTCTCAGTGCCTGTAACTCTCTCCACACCCAGGACCCCAGAAAGGAGAGAAAGGAAAGAAGAGGATGGGTAAGAGAGCTATCTTAACAAACTTGTGAGTCATTAAAAAGTGACCAAATGAATTTAGGCTTTCACAGTGATGTGAGGGTATCACATGGTTATCTCCTCAGTGTGGCTGTCCCACCCACAGTTGCCATTTCAGTGAATGTTTATCTTGATTTCATGTTAGTCTTATATGTACTACATAACTTTATTTCTCATCCCAGGCACCTGGTACCCTGCTATGCAGCTCAAAAGAAACTTGTAAAGTACAAATGGACTGTCCAAAACACTCAGTTTTGTTGGTGCTAAGGTTCCCTGACTCCCCATAGATAAACGATTGCCCAGTTGTTGCTTTTTCAGAACTGTGTCAAGGTTTAAAATTGTTCTCTATTTGCTGTGTCAAACAGATGGCCACTCTTAGTATGCAATTTCTCCTTCTATCTTCTCAAAATAGTCTTGTATTTTAGCCTGGTAACTTTAGTCTAGTCTTGATATCTTTGAGTGCTATGGTTTTAAAATATTTCCTTCTCAACCCCCTTGATATATTTTTAGAGTTACTGATTACATCTTAATTTCTCCTCTTTTCTTATCCAACAGCAGTATTTACCTTCATGGTCTTATTCAGGGCTGAATGGTCATCCATTTTTTTAGATAATATGCCATATCCTTCAAAACCACACCTCCTCCAATTATTGATTTCTGCTTTTAACAGGAACTTTTAATCACAGGCCTGCTTGAGTTCCCCTTCAGTTATTCAGCAAGTACTTTTTATTTATTTATTTAAAAAATGTTTTATTTTATTTCTTGTATTCTGGCGGCACGTGGGATGGTTCTCCAACCAGGGATTGAACCCTGGCCTCCTCAGTGAAAGCGCGGAATCCTAAGCACTAGCCCACCAGGGAACTTCCATAAAATATTTTACTTATTTGTTTGGTAGTACCGGGTTTTAGTTGTGGCAGGCGGGCTCCTTAGCTGTGGCTTGCCAGCTCCTTAGTTGTGGCATGTGAACTCTTAGCTGCAGCATGCATGTGGTATCTAGTTCCCTGACCAGGGATTGAACCCGGGCCCCTCGCATGGGAAGTGCAGAGTCTTAACCACTGCGGCACCAGGGAAGTTCCTTATTTATTTTTTAAAGTCGAGATGTTATTTATTTGTATTTTTGGCCATACTGTGGGCTTGTGGGATCTCAGTTCCCTGACCAGGGATTGAACTCAGGCCATGGCAGTGAAAGTCTGGAATCATAACCACTAGACCACCAGGGAACTCCCGGCAAGTATTAAGTATCTGCTATTGCAGGCACTGTCCTAGGTTTTGAAGACTCAACAGTTAATGCACAAAATTCTAGTCCTCATGGGGTTTCTATTTTAGCATTTTCTGGGTGACAAATAGTAAAATGAATAAATAAAACATGTGCTCTCTGAACCCATCTTTTTTTTTGTTAATTATTTATTTTTGGCTGCGCAACGGCTCTCTCTAGTTGCGGGGAACGGGGGCTACTCTTTGTTGCTGTGCACAGGCTTCTCGTTGCAGTGGCTTCTCTTGTTGCGGAGCAAGGGCTCTAGGGGCGCGGGCTTCAGTAGTTGTGGCACTCGGGCTCAGTAGTGGCATGTGGGATCTTCCCCGACCAGGGCTCAAACCTATGTTCCCTGCATTGGCAGGCGGATTCTTAACCACTGCACCACCAGGGAGGTCCCCTTAATCTGTCTTTGAAATGAGTAACTAGTTTTCTGAGGATTCAACGCAGTATACTCCTACATGGTGAAAGTGCGTTATAATCTGTGAACCACCCAGAATTAAGCCGCCTAATTCTCCAAACACATGATGGACTGGGTGTTCTCATCAAATAAATTACCAGTTGGCCTTGTCCTTGGTTGTATAAGGCCCAATGGCTCGCCCACTAGATTAGCAGGATCTTCCAGGGAGTCAAGAATTTGAGTCAATGCCTCTTTTTGTCCCACAGCTAGGAACAACTTACTACAAACGCCGCCAACTCAGTGACAGCCTAAAAGTGGTCTTTGCACCAGTTGTATGAAAACTACCCGAGTTGTTTAATAAACGGGCAAGGTTATCAGGCTGCCACCCCAGGGTAAAAATCAGAACCTCTGGTGCGGTGCCTCAAAATGTGCAAGTTCAACAACTTCCCAACGTGATGCTGGAGGTAAACCAATGTTTGGAAATCACGAAGATGTCGGCTAGAAGAGACTGGAGAACACTAGAAACTGAGGATAGTTCCTGAAAAGCAAAACTAACCTGCGTGGGAGGCTGGGCAGAAGGGGGTGTGTGGGGAGGTTGGTACAGACAGAGGAGAAGGTGTTTGTATTATGACAAAAATAATTATGTCACATTCCTCATAACCCCAACGTCCCACCACCGTCGTGGCAAGCCCTGCGCAGGGTTTGCCTGGGACAGGCGGCGTAAGAATCCCTGAGTGGCAAGGGGCCCAACGCGCAGCCCGCACGGAGCGGAAGCTGGGAGAGCGGTTTCCGCTGCCAGCACCCAAAATGGCGGCACGAGCGTCCCCACCATGCGAAACACATGCTCTGTGCCCCATCTCAGGTCTCACTGGACTTTTGCAAGTCACCGTGGGAACCCTCAAGGGTGGGATCCCGCACTCCGGCGGCGATACCACCTCCCATTCCCAGCCCTAAGCCCTTATACCCTCGCCAAAGAATGCACTGGAAGCGCTCAGCCTATTAACTTCACTCCGTGCCCAGCCTGTAATACCTCCTGCAGCCGGCGAGCGACGGGCGCACGGCCGAGGGGTCCCAAACGCCGGGCGATAGGGCCTTCGCCCCACTTTATTGGTGGGCCCATGCCGTGGGGCGGGCCTACATGCCCATTGGGCCGTGGACCGTGTCAGTCTTGGGAAATCGGTAAAGAGAGAAGGAGGCGCACTCAGCCATTGGGTTCTCTCTGCTGTCAATCAAAGCGACATCCGGCGACGGCCAATGTCTCCGCTCGTTGATTGGAGAAACGTGTCCCGGGGGAGTACGCGTAGGGCGGGCTTCCGTGTGAGGTAGAAGGAGGGGGCGGGGAGGGAAGCGGAGGCTGGCGAGCTCTAGGCCGGCCGGCGGTGGCGGCGGCAAGGCCTGGCTTCGGGCTGAGCGCCTGCTGTGGCGGCAGCGGCGGACGCCGAGATCAGCAGAGGGTATCAAGCACATTTCTTTCCCTAACGGGAGGGGCGCAGCGCCGCGGGGCCGAGGCTTACGGGGTGAAGGGCGGCGGGGTGGAGCTGAGGGGCAGGAGGCGGGAGCGGGCGGCCGAGCGGAGTTCGCGTCGGGGCCGGGCTCTGGGCCTGGCAGGGAGGGGCCGAGAGGCCGTGGAGAAAGCATCTCCAGGGTGGGTTGGACTGGGGAGGGCTGAGGGCCTGAGAAGGCGTGGTGTTAGGCCCAGGCTTGGGAGCGGGGTGGGGCCATAAGGGCGGAGGGCGGGGTGGGGTTTGGCCGTCAGGGTGGGTCAAGGCCAGGAAAGTACACTTGGTTCGCTGCTGCCCAGAGGCTAGAAGTCGAGGCACCAGGAGCGGCATGGCGACTTGGTCCCAGCCGGACTCGGGTATCCGGGGCAGGGTGGGACCGGGCTCAGGCCTGGCCTTACTCGATCTTTAAGGGACCTTGTCCGGTTTCTCGAACTTAATTGGCTCTTGGGAGGTTTTTAGTAGTAAATTGCGTGAGAACTGGAGGGAAGTGTAAGCAGGAATTCTGGGTCGCAATTATGTTTACTCCAACCAGATAAGGGCGTGTGTGTGTGTGTGTGTGTGTGTGTGTGTGTATGTGTGTATATCCCTCTTTCCCTTTAGGATGAAGTTCGTAGATGGGTCACAGCAGTGAACAGGAGAGAGCTATGTCGTGGTTTACGAGGTTAAGGGAAGCTCAGAAGTAGAGACTAGAAAGTGAAAGGCAGCTTTACTCCCTCCCCACTTGGCTATCTGGGTTGAAGACTTGGCCATATCCTTCTGCTTTGGATCAGAAGATCACGTGAATGAAAATAAAACCTGCCTATTCAAATTCTGGACCTAATAATCCTGCCTCAGGGCCCCCCATCTTGTCAGTACCCCCATTTTTTTTAAAATGTGAGAGTGATAGGAAAGGGAAATCAGATTTTAAAGTTGGAAAAACAAAAGGCGTTATTCTTTTCTGTGATGTGGTGGTTGTCTTCTTGTCCTTTTACTCTCTCACCCATTAATAATCTCTCCCTCCCTTTTAGAACTTGAAGGCACAAGAATTGTAGGCAGTTTTCTACTGAGAGAGGAGAAACAAACTTTCTTTTAAGATAGGAAATGGACTTCTCACGCTAAAAATAGAAGCTGGATAGTGTGTATGGGGTGGGGGGAGGGTTGGTAAATCAGACAACGTGTAAAGTATTTTGGATGCCGTGGGCATTATCTGCTTATCCAAAATGAGCTACCTTTTAGGGTACTGCAGAATTAATATCCAGAAACTGAGATCCCTTGTGAGCAATACCTTCCTCTCATAGTTGTTCTGTCTGTAACAGGTTTTCATGTTTTGTTTTTCTTGGAGTATAATAACTTATTTTTAAATAAAAAATAAAAGTGGCCTTTTAATGTGTTTCCTACCTCTGCCTTGGTCATGGCATGAAAATTATGGAATCTTATCCTGTTGCTTTTGTGATTCCCATTTCAGGTTTCTTTGGAAACCCCCCTGGTAAGTGTGGAGGAGGCGGGACACTCTGACCCAAGACAAAAGGCCTGTAGCTCCAGCCAAAGGAAATAAACCTTAGGAGAGAGAAGGAAAAAAAATACCATCAGCTGTTCCCGAGAACAACCTGCAGTGAAATTTACAGAGAGGACAACTAATGTGAGTGAGGAAGTGACTGTATGTGGACTGTGGAGACAGTAAGTCACGTGGGCCCTGAGGGCCTGGACTGGGTTAGGAAACAGTTGTACTTTCAAAGGTGAGGTGTCAAGAAGGGAAAAGTGAATGTGGTCTGGAGTGTGGCCTTGGCTCCAAGGGGTGTGCTTTCCTCTGAGGCTGTCAGGAAGCTCAGCCCCTGTGTTCTGCCAGGGTGGGGTACGGGGTTTGGCACTGAGGAGGGTAACTTGCTGGCTGGAGCAGCAGAGCAGTGGCCTTGATTTGTCTTTTGGAAGATTTAAAAACCAAAAAGCATAAACATTCTGGTCCTTCAGCAATGCTTTCTCTGAAGAAATACTTAACGGAAGGACTCCTCCAGTTCACCATTCTGCTGAGTTTGATCGGGGTGCGGGTGGACGTGGATACTTACCTGACCTCGCAGCTCCCCCCGCTCCGGGAGATCATCCTGGGGCCCAGTTCTGCCTATACTCAGACCCAGTTCCACAACCTGAGGAATACCTTGGATGGCTATGGTATCCACCCCAAGAGCATAGACCTGGACAATTACTTCACTGCCCGGCGGCTCCTCAGTCAGGTGAGGGCCCTGGACAGGTTCCAGGTGCCAACCACTGAGGTTAACGCCTGGCTGGTCCACCGGGATCCGGAGGGGTCTGTCTCTGGCAGCCAGCCCAGCTCGGGCCTCGCCCTCGAGAGTTCCAGTGGTCTCCAAGATGTGACAGGCCCAGACAACGGGGTGCGAGAAAGCGAAACGGAGCAGGGATTCAGTGAAGATTTGGAGGATTTGGGGGCTGTAGCCCCTCCAGTCAGTGGAGACTTAACCAAAGAGGTTAGTGGCGACGTGGAGGGGAGGGTGGGAAGGGTCTGGGGTTGCGGGGGTGGGCTGGTCCTGAAGGAGTGTAGTAATAGTAGTAAGCCCTGTAAAGAACCAGAGAGGTTCCAGGGGGTCTCAGGCATTGTTCTGGGATAGGAGTGGGCTAGATTGTCTGACTAAGATTGGGGGTTGGGAGCATTTCCTTGTGTTGAACCATTGACCCACCTCTAAATGAACTGTCAGGGCAGTGGGAGGTCCTTAGAACATGCCTGTGTGTTTACTGCTTGGATTTCAACATGACTCCTGGAGGCCCGGGGTGGGGGAGGGAGTCATGTTATGATGGGCTTTGATGCGGTGTATGTTCGTTGCTAAGACACAAATATTTTGTGGACTGTTGCCTTGTACCTCCCCCCACATCAAAACACACATATGTATTCTGAAGTTCTCCTCCTTTGTGGTCAGGCCTGTTGTGGTGGTAAGGTCCTGATAAGTCTCCTCTCCTGGGTCTGAGCCAAGGGGTAGATTGAGATAGTTATTCTTGGCCAGGAGAGGGCCAAGGCTCCCATTCTTTGCTAAAGGCCCACTGCAGCGAGTAGGGACGGGAGGGATGGATGGGAACTAGAAGAGAAACTGCATTCTGCTGCTGAAGGCAGCTTGCTTTGAGCTGTCAGAGGTCTGAACTGACGAGTGGCTGACACACTGTTCTGGGCAGAAGGTGATGCAGTCGCCTCTAACCATGTTAAATGGTTTCTGCTGCCCCTCCCCCACCAATGTGATAAGACTGCTTTGAGCTCTGCGTTTGGACCTGTCTTGCCACTCAGTCTTATGGAGCTTGGGAAAAGATCCAGTTCAGTCGCTTCCATTAGGGAAGGAGGAGGCTGGATTGCACTGGGCTGGGTTTTCCAGAGCTGAGTCTTGAGGCGGGGGTGCATGGGGGGAGTGTTTGGGAAGAGGGTGTGTGGAGGTATGTTAAAAGTTTTACAGATGCTGTAGAACTTGGCTCTTTCTGCATACCAGTCAGACCAGGTTTTGCCTACCATCCCGCGTTGAAGCCTGTTCCTGAGCTCGGTTCTCTGAATGTTAGTGACTGTCAAATCATGTGGCTTTCTCTGGGCCAGTGGTCCTCAACTGGGGATGATTTTGTCCATCAGGGAACATGTGGCAGTGTCTAGAGACAGCTTTGGTTGTCACAACTGGAGAAGGTGTTATTGGCATCTAGTGGAGAGAGGCATGGGATGCTGCCGAACTTCCTAAAAAGCATAGGACAGCCCCTAAATAACAGATTGATCTGGCCCCAAATGTCAGTAGTGCCAGGGTTGCTCTGTGCTTAGCTGGCTCACATTGGCTCTACTTTGAGAGAGACTAGAATTACCTGAGTATGGGAGTCATGAGCACTCCTTGCCTTGCAGTGCCTCTTTTCTGAGATTCTTACAGTGCCACCTCTCTTCTGCTTCCTGTGTTATTTACCTTCAACTGGACTCCAGTCTTGGCACAGTGGTCTGAAGAAGTATGCCTCCCGGCCTCCTCTTCCATCATCCCACCCACGGTAGCTCCTCAAGGGGTAGATGTAATTGGGCTTGGGAACCCTGCTGCTGGTAACCCAGCAGGCATAGCTTCATTCCTCTTCCTGCAGGGATCTCTCCTGGGATGGGGTGGGATGGGATGTTTTCAATGTAATTGGATGGGTTGGGGTGGAATGGGATGGGACTTTGACCCTGCTTGCCTCCATTTCTTGATCTTCATGAAGTTTGTGCTTTCCCTGACCCCAGGCTTTCACTGCTCCCTTTGGAGATTGGGGGTGGGTTAGCGTTAGGGGCCCAGGCTGGGTATGGGGGAAGGGAGGATTTTTGTGTGTCTAGAACATTATTTCCTCAGCAACTCAGGGATAAAAATACCCAGGTCCAGAGCATGTGACAGGCACTGCTGGAGCTGGTATTATCCCTGGGTGGCAGCACTCCCCTGCTGCCAGGCCTGTTCGATGGACAGCTATAGCCCAGGCCCTTGTCAGGGATAGGATTCCCCTCGAGGTTGGCACTCTGCCCAGAGAGGGGGGTGGCCTGTGTACAGCTCTTTGCAGGCGAGGAGGAGCACTCTGCGACCAAGGAGAACACACTGTCCCTGACCTGACCTTAGGCTCAAGGGGAGCAGCAGTGAGGATGGGAGCCAGAATTGTGACCCTGATTCTGTCAGGGGCATTCTTCCTGCTTTAGAGATGTAAGCCGGGGCTCAGGCAGAGATGGCTCTTGAACAAAGCCTGGGGTAAAAAGAAAGTGGGGGGCGGGGGGGACATGTTTGTGTGCAGGACGTTGCAGAGCACCTGTCTCCTTCAGTGCTGGCGTTCAGGCTCCTGTCTCCCTCCTCTTGCCTGGGGCTAGGCCTGGCCGGCACTGTGACATCCCTGCATTTGTGCAGATGGATTTCCCCCTTCCTCTTGTCTAGCTTGTTGTAGGGTGACAAAGCCCCTGGTTCCCAGTGGATCTGGGTGCACTGGGTTCCTGCCCAGGCTAGCTTTTTGAGCTTTGGGCTTGAGGACGACTGGCCACAGCCCTCCTGAGGAACGGGAAAACTCCTTACACTTCCAGGGAAGAACTTAGATTCCCGGAGAAGCTGTGGGAGGAGTGTCTGCCCAGTCCTGAGTCCCAGTCCTGAGTGGGCTGGGTAAGCAGGATGCGACAGGAGGGAGAGTGGCACCCCTTCCCCCCAGGGCGCTCTCACTGCGCCACCCCGGCTGGCTGACTGGGCTGGGTGGGGCTGCCCGCCCCTGGGTGCGTCTCCTTGAGGAGACGGAGGCGGCCGGGGATGGGCTGGTTCCTTGCGGCAGCTTCTCCAGCTGCCCTGGTGCAGAGATTGGCTCCCGGCTGCAGCTAGGTAACAGGCGGTGGGAGGGGATTGGCTCCTTCCGCATCTCCAGCGGAGACTTGGGGGAGGAGATTGGCTCTCGTCGCAGCCTAGGTAACGACAGTGGGAGGGGATTGGCTCTTTCCGCAGCCCAGCTGCTGACCTGGGGGAGGGGATTGGCTCTCTGCAGCCTCAGCAGTGACCTGCGGGGTGGGAGGGGGAGGGGATTGGCTCCTTGCTGCAGCCTAGGTAACAAGTTTGGGGGGCGTGGGGAGGGGGAGAGAGGGAGGAGCGGGAGGATAGGCCCAGGAGGGAGCTTGCTTTCCTCTGCAGCTTGAGCACGGAGCATGGGGTGGGAGTCCCATCTCACTGCAGCCTCTGCGGTGAGCTCAGGGTGGGGGCTGCCGGGCGCCTGAGTGGAACTGGGGTTGTGAGGTGGGAGGGGGCTGCTCCAGGATGGAGGAAGGGGGCTGGGCTGGGCCGCCCAGGCAGCAGCACGGGCGGGGCACCCTCCTTGGGCCCCTCGGAGCTAGCAAGGGGCCACCCTTCCAGCCTGGTGTGCTCCCTGCGAGCCAAGAGCTCCTTGGAGCCCCCTGTCCGGCTGCCCAGCACCAGCTGCCCTGGGGCTCATCTCGCACACCATGACCCGCCTGGACCGCAGCTCTCACAGTGGTGGGGGCCATGCCAAAGGGAGCCGGCCCCTTAACTCTTTGGTGGCTGGTCGCCGGGTGGCCCAGCCCCCCTCTGCTCCTGGGTCCAGGGCTTCTGTTCAGGTTGGTATATGTGGGGAGACTGCAGGGAGAGGTACACCTGGGAGGTCTTAGGATCAGGGAGGCTTACTGTGGGAGAGGGATACCTGGTCAGAGCTAGGGAGGTGGGTCTAAGCTAAGGATACTGCTTTCTGGAAAGTGTCTGCCTTTTAATCTCTGACTGGAAGGCAACAGTTTAGGGTTTCTTTAACTGCAGGGGGTGGCATGTACAGGAAACCTGAACGCCTCATATTTATTGGGGTTGCACGCTGGTGGCATTGGGGGTAGCAGGTGGAGCCGGAGCTAATCAGGAGCCGCCAGCGTAGAGTGAGAGGGAGGCATTTTGGTGCCCGGGGCGGCAGTTGTGGCTGGGCAGTGATGGGGGCTATGTCCTTGAGTGGGTTGCCTGATGGGAGTCAGTGAGTCCTGGGGTGTGGTAAGGGAGTGAGAGCACTGGTTTGTGGGGACACCGTGGGGCTGGCCTTGGCAGGGGTGGGGTGTCCAGGCAGGATCATCTGACTGCCTGAGGCTCTCCGGGGATTGAGGCAGCTTGCTGGGATCAGCTGAGAGTGGGCATTCTGTTCTGGCAGGGATGGATCTTGAGGTGAGCCTGGACTGAGAATTATGGGTGTTCAGCCTTACTCCTGCCTCATCCAGGGAAGGGGGAACGGCTGTAGGAAGGGCTGGATAGCCTGTCGTTGTCATTGGTTGCATCAGGTGGTTGCAAATGCAGGGATTTTCCTCTCCAGTCCACCCCACCCCTTTATGCAAATGAAATGGCACCACAGGCTGATGCAAGCCTGGCCACTGCGAAGCAATTTTGCTTGACAGTTCACTCTTGCTTGCCATGGCCAGCTTTCTACAAACCAAGTTTTAAGGGATTTCCATTCCCGAAATGAGAAGTGTCTCCTGCTTCCCCCTTTCTTCTTAAGTAGTGGTAAGATGGCCCAGCCTTTTGGCCTGGCTGTGCCTCTGGTCCAGATCCTAAGCCCGCAGACCGGTATGGTGATGGTTGTGCTAGTGGTTTTCGCTAGCTCTTTTTTTTTTTTTTTTTTTGGAGGCTGGTGTCTGGAAATGGATGAATGAAGCCGTGCTGGTACGGAGGGGACAGGGGGTAGAGTCTGGCAGGTGTAGATTGGGAGGGGCCCCACCCGGGAGTAGTTGGGGTGATGCTAACCTCTGAGGGGCAGGACAGGGAGGGGCCCCTGGACCCCAGAGCTAAAGTCATGATGCTCTGTCTTCCAGGACATAGATCTGATTGACATCCTTTGGCGACAGGATATTGACCTGGGGGCTGGGCGTGAGATTTTTGACTACAGTCATCGCCAGAAGGAGCAGGATGTGGATAAGGAGCTGCAAGATGGAGCGGAGCAGGAGGACCCCTGGCCAGGCGAGGGTGCAGAAGCTCTGGCACGAAACCTGCTAGTGGATGGAGAGACTGGGGAGAGCTTCCCTGCACAGGTACTCCTGCCTCTGCCCACTTCTAGAAACTTCTCTTTAGAGAAGGCAGGTTGTGTCTGTGGGATGGGCCTGAATGTATATCTTGGGTTGGGGTCTCTAAGTCACCGTGGTGGCTGAGGAAGCGGGAGTAGAAGAGCAGCAGCAGCGGAGGGGCCGCGCCTTGGTAACGAACAGCACATGGGAGGCAGAGCACCTAGCGGCTTTCTGCTTGCGTCAGAACCCCCCCACTCTCTTCTCCCCTGGAGTTTGGGACTCAGGGCCAGCCGACAGCCTGGGAACGGAGGGAGAGTGTAGGCCTGCAACCATGCAGGGCCTCCTTCAAGCTTCCCCTTGGAAAGGCTGGGGAAGGGGCTTCGGCCCACAGGCAGCCAAGGCCCGGGTCAGTCAGACTTAACAGTTGCTGTTGCCACAGGTGCCTGGTGGGGAGGACCAGACAGCCCTGTCCTTGGAAGAGTGCCTTAGGCTGCTGGAGGCCACCTGCCCCTTTGGGGAGAATGCTGAGGTGAGCAGGACTCCAGGGAGAGCCCACTGAGTCAGCAGGGCAGCCTGCACACAGTGTGTCTCTCTGTGGCTGCCTGAGGGGCCGGCTTTTGGTGTTGGCCTTGTCCTGGCTGCTGGGGGTGAATTCAGAGGAAGGAAGAAACAGAACCTCAGGTGGTAGTCTCGGGGAGGAAAGCAGAAGGTGGTCTTTCCTCCTCCCCTGTTAAACCCTCTGTGTTTTGCCCTAGTTTCCAGCAGACATTTCCAGCGTAACAGAAGCAGTGCCTAGTGAGAGTGAGCCCCCAGGTCTTCAAAACAATCTTTTGTCTCCTCTCCTGACGGGGACAGAGTCTCCATTTGATTTGGAACAGCAGTGGCAAGATCTCATGTCCATCATGGAAATGCAGGTAGGATTATCAGAACCAGGCACAAACTTCTCGGACTTTGTGTGGGGTGTCTTCATACTCAGTTGCTTTTCCACTTCTGGGAGAAGAGAGAGTGACACCCTTCTGATCCATAGGAAAGTGGGGGCCCTGAGAGGTAACTGTCCACGTGTCAGTGGGTGGTGGAGTCAAGATTGGGGTTTGGGTTAAAGCCCCGGGGCTGAGGCTTCTAAAGCAGGCCTGCCTCCTAGGTGCGCCTCCTTCTTTCCCTTCAGGCAGATGATCACTGGGCTGGGTGTTTCCTAGGTTTAGCATTAATAAAAGCTGACATTATTGTAGTGCTTTACAGCCATTGTCATCTCACTTGGCCCTCGGGATCATCTAGTCAGCCCTTTATTATTTTAAACGTGAGGACACTGAATCTCAAAGAGAGACTGAGTGAAATGCCTGGTCTTACAGCAAGTGGTGCAGCTAGGCTTTCTTACTCCAAGGCTGGGTGTACTTTTCACTGTGCTGATTCTGCAGTGTTAGGTGCTTTTTTCCTCTCCTCCATGATGGGGAAGTCTGGGCCAAACATGACCTGGAGCTGATCAGTCCTGCCTTGGGGTGGAGTCCACAGGGAGGAACCCGTCTCTGCCAGGCATGATGGATCAAGCGGGGCCAGGAGCTGATGCTGTGGGCTGTGGTTTCCTGTCTCTTGCCTTTACACCCATGCAGCTGTGCCTATGTTGGGTGCCTGCTATCGTGAGCCCCCAGCCACACCTGGGGATGGAGTCTGCGCTAAGTGAACGGTGATGCTCTTCTCCCCTCCCAGGCCATGGAAGTGAACACATCAACAAGTGAAATCCTGTACGATGCCCCTCCAGGAGACCCACTGAGCACCAACTACAGCCTTGCCCCCAACACTCCCATCAATCAGAATGTCAGCCTGCATCAGGCGTCCCTGGGGGGCTGCAGCCAGGACTTCTCACTCTTCAGCCCGGAGGTGGAGAGCCTGCCTGTGGCCGGCAGCTCCACGCTGCTCCCGCTGGTCCCCAGCAATTCCACCAGCCTCAACTCCACCTTTGGTTCCACCAACCTGGCAGGGCTCTTCTTTCCACCCCAGCTGAATGGCACAGCCAATGACACAGCAGGCCCTGAGCTGCCTGACCCACTCGGGGGTCTGTTAGATGAAGCCATGCTAGATGAGATCAGCCTGATGGACCTGGCCATTGAAGAAGGCTTTAACCCCGTGCAGGCCTCCCAGCTCGAAGAGGAATTTGACTCTGACTCAGGCCTCTCCTTGGACTCCAGCCATAGCCCTTCCTCCCTGAGCAGCTCTGAAGGTAGTTCTTCCTCCTCCTCCTCGTCCTCCTCCTCTTCTTCCTCTTCCTCTTCCTCTACTTCTTCCTCAGCCTCTTCCTCCTTTTCTGAGGAAGGTGCAGTTGGCTACAGTTCTGACTCTGAGACCTTGGATCTGGAAGAGGCTGAGGGCGCTGTGGGCTACCAGCCCGAGTATTCCAAGTTCTGCCGCATGAGCTACCAGGACCCAGCTCAGCTCTCCTGCCTGCCCTATTTGGAGCATGTGGGCCACAACCACACATACAACATGGCACCCAGTGCCCTCGACTCTGCTGACCTGCCACCACCCAGCACCCTCAAGAAGGGCAGCAAGGAGAAGCAGGCCGACTTCCTGGACAAACAGATGAGCCGGGATGAGCATCGAGCCCGAGCCATGAAGATCCCTTTCACCAACGACAAGATCATCAACCTGCCTGTGGAGGAGTTCAACGAGCTGCTGTCCAAGTACCAGCTGAGCGAAGCCCAGCTGAGCCTCATCCGTGACATCCGGCGCCGTGGCAAGAACAAGATGGCGGCGCAGAACTGCCGCAAGCGCAAGCTGGACACCATCCTGAACCTGGAGCGGGATGTGGAGGACCTGCAGCGCGATAAAGCCCGGCTGCTGCGGGAGAAGGTTGAGTTCCTCCGGTCCCTGCGGCAGATGAAGCAGAAGGTCCAGAGCTTGTACCAGGAAGTGTTTGGGCGGCTGCGGGATGAGAACGGGCGGCCCTACTCGCCCAGTCAGTATGCGCTGCAGTATGCCGGGGATGGCAGCGTCCTCCTCATTCCCCGCACCTTGGCTGACCAGCAGGCCCGGCGGCAGGAGAGGAAGCCGAAGGACCGGAGAAAGTGAGCCTGGGGAGGAAGGGGGTTGACGCTCACCGAGATGGAAACTGGAGAAGGGCTGGGCCTGGACCTGGACCTACAGCGGGGACTTTAATGCCTTCTTATCCAATAGATCTCAGATGGGATGACTGCGGGTCAGTGGACAGGAAGAGGCAGGCGCAGGCGCTGTCTGGCTCAGCTTCCCCCACTGAGGGGGGTGGAAGTGGCCAGACCGTTTGGGTGGACAGGGTCCTCACCCCTACCCCTTTCCTTTGAGGGAAGGGTGGTGCTGGCATTGCTGGAGGCCGAAAAAGGGAAAGTAAGGGACTTGTGAGAGGAGAGGAAAGTAGTAGAAAGTCTCATTCCTGGAAGGAAGGAAGGAAGGAAGGAAGGAAAACAGAAAACCCAGAAAAATCAAAGCGGGAAGAAAATCAGAGGGCAGGTTAAGTTGGCTCTGGCCAGGATTCCAGGCAGCAGGTTTTAGAGGGGACTAGATTACTGGTGTGAGTAAACCCCACTTTAGCCTAGGGGAGGGGTGGAACACGGAGTCGGTTCTGAGAGGGGCCTGTGAACTCTTCCTGCTCCTGCACTTTGGCATCCCTGACGGGGAGCTCTCGGATGATATCTCCTGTGAGGTTTCCATCAGAGGGGAGCCCCTGGGACCCGACACTGGCTTGGAGGGTTAGGATCAAAGGGTAGAGTCAACAGGCAGGGGTCGTGAGGCCTCATGCTGCAGCAGCCCCAACACCAAGCATGTCACTCACTGCCCTGCCATACATCTTCCTCTGTGCCCAGTCACCCCTGAGCTGAGGCTCCCACGTCTCCATCAGAGCCTGCATGCGAATGCTGTTCTCTTCCCACCCGTGTGCCCCCGCCCCTCACCAGCTGCCTGGAGCTCTTCTGGAGCTGGGGTGCTGGCAGTGCCCACAGGGCTGGGCCTGCAGCCTCCTGGGAGCTGCTCTGAGGCAGGGGGATGATGTGGAGAAGCCAGGCGGTATTCAGCACAACACTGGGGAGTGACCCTTCCCTCAGGCCTCCCCTACCAACAACTGGGCTTTGTCACTGGAAAGACAAAAACCTACAAAACCCAGCAGCAACAACAAAAACTAGTCCTCTTAGAGTTTCTTGCGCTTTGATTTTTTTAGGGCTTGAGCCCTGTTTCACTTATAGGGTCTAGAATGCTTGTGTTGAGTAAAAAGGAGATACCAATATTCAAAGCTGCTAAATGTTCTCTTTGCCATAAAGACTCCGTGTAACCGTGTGAACACTTGGGATTTTTCTCCTCTGTCCCGAGGTCTCTGTCTTTCTTTTTTGGGTTTCTTTTCAGGAGAATAAGTGCATGTAACGGGGGCTGAGGGTACCCCTCCCTCAGGCTCTTGGCCACAGGCAGCTTCTCCACACCCCCAGTTTAGCAAGGGCTCCTGGAGGACCGCCTGGGGGAGGCAGAGAGGGGAGCGCCAAGGTGGCCAGGTGGTTCCAGGACCACAGTGTCTCTAACTGTTGCCACTGCTGTCCCCACCTTGGCCTGGGTCTGGAGCATTGTCTGCCCCAGGCTAGCAGGAATGAGTTGAAGGGGGGAAGCACTGATTCTCCTCCCTGCTTAGGTGGGGAGGCATTCTAACTGAGCAGTAGGGATAGAAGGCACGAGCCTGGGAAGTGCTTTTATAAATTATTTTCCTTGTAGATTTTATTTTTAATTTATCTCTGTGACCTGCCAGGGAGAGGAGAGAGAGATGCTGTGAGCACATGACAAAATAAAATAAAATAAAATGGATGATTTATTCTCAAGTGCAGTTTTTCCCTATTTTGAATTTAAATTGAGAGTAAAGGAAACAGGCCCCATGAGGAGAGGACTGGCCATTGTGTGGCTAAGGCAGAGCTCTTAGGGGAAAGTGGGTGGAGAGCAGAGGAGGTTGACAATGAAGAATTTAGAAAGACAGAAGTCTTAAATACTGTATTAAAGCTTCCAAACAGGGGTTATGTACCTTTCTGTAGGGTTTGCCAGCTGAATCCTTTTAGACGCAGGATTCAGAATCCTTTTTGGCCTTTCTCGTAGGGCTAGGCTATGTGGGTGTTGTCACCTGGCCCAGCTCCTTACCTGTCTTCCTGTGGCAAACTGCATTTTTAATATTGATTGTGCTGTTATTTCTCTGGCGGCCCCACCTACCAAGGGGGTGCAGAGCTTTGGAGCGTAGTCACAGTGATGACGGTGATGGCAGAAACCCAAGAGATCTACAGGACCAGCACACGCCAAGTACTCCACTATAACAGCAGGGCCACGGAACCAGAGAACAGAAAGCTAGACCCCAGGGTTTAAGGCATTTGAAAGCTCTCCAGCTGAGGTGACCAGAATCTGTTCTCCCTCAAAATAATACAAAAAGCCTGTAAAGAGTTGAATGCTTTAAGGTACTGGATGGTTGCTGGAACAGCCACACGCGCATCTAGGGGTAGGTACTTAACAAATGTCCAAGTAATGAATGCCCACCTGGCAGTCTCTGTGAGATTACCAGATGCAGTTTAGGACTGGAAGCTGTGATCCTCCTCATGAAAACCTGTGATCTTGAACTCCCCATGTACCACTGTATGACCTGGCTTAGCCCAGTCCTTTAATGATGCTACTAGAGTTTATCCTATGGGGTGAATAGAATTCTGGGAATAACACTGAGTTCTTTTTTGTTTTGATTTACAATGGCTTTTGCCCCCCATCTAGTTGGAACGGGTTGGTCCTATCAAACAAGAGCTCTTTCCTAATTAGTAATTAACTTATGACTGTAAGCCAAATAAAACGAAGATTCTTAAAAAAAAGGCTAAAAATTAAGTCAGAAAAACTAATTTATGCTGATAAAAAATACAAGTTATATACAGAAAACTGTGACAAGTAAAATTCAGAGTAATGTTTTTGTATACTTTCTAGAAACGTGTATATTTTTGTTTAGTACACAATTAGGCTATAACTTTTATCTTGTTTTGCAACTTTTCAAACAGATTTTAAAGATTTTAAGAAAAAGTCCTCTCACCTCCCCCTTTGCTAGTGTTGCCTCTGGTCTGAGAAAGTGTGTTTTGGTCACCCCCCTCCCCCATGTCCCCTTATGGAGAAATGTACAGTTGTGTCTGGGAGCTTGCTGATTAGCTGGGGCTTTGGGCCAAGTTGGTCAGCACTGCTGTGGGGCTGACCTCTTTTTGCTGTTGGCAGGTGGAGTGGGTGTTCCAGCTTCAAGGCTTTTTCTGGCAGGAAGAAGATACGAGACCTCAAGTAAGGACTGTGAAGGCTGCTACACCTGAGACAGGAAGTGAGACGAGGTCCTAGATTTCGCAGGGAGATGAGCAGACCTCAGGACCAAACTTCTGGGTGACGTGCTTGGGTAGGGGTCGAAGGCTTGCTTTGTCTTGACTTTAGTCCTAGGCATCATTCAAACTGATTTTCCCACACATTTTAAATCATGTAAGGCGACGGAAATAGGTCCATTGTGTTTGGGGTTTTTTTGCGGTACGCGGGCCTCTCACTGTTGCGGCCTCTCCCGTTGCGAAGCACAGGCTCCGGACGTGCAGGCCCAGCGGCCATGGCTCACGGGCCCAGCCGCTTCGCGGCATGTGGGATCTTCCAGACCGTGGGGCACGAACCCACGTCCCCTGCATCGGCAGGCGGACTCCCAACCACTGCGCCACCAGGGAAGCCCCATTGTGGTTTTTTTTTTAAGGCTGCACCACATGGCCTGTGGGATCTTAGTTCCCTGACCAGGGATTGAACCCGCTGCCCCCTGCAGTGGAAGCACAAAGTCCTAACCACTGGACTGCCAAGGAAGTCCCAGATCCACTGTTTCAATCTCTGCCCCACATACGATCTCACCAGTGAAGCCAGGGCTATTTCAGAATCAACAAAAATAGAAAAAATATAGAACTGAGGGAAAGTAGAGATCTAGAGACATGCTCAGTGTCATCAAGACCTGGCCTCCACGGCTGACTCCTTGCCCTTCTTAGGGAAAGCTGAACAGCAATTAAAAACAGCCAGTGAATGAGGAGGTACTTTCCATGGAGTCCTGCCTTCCTCAGGCTGCCTTCATCCCTGCTTTGACCACCCACAGCTACACCAGACCTTGCTGCTCTTCAGATCTGTTTGGCACATAGCTGGAAAACAAGTGCCTTGCAGAAAAAAGAACATCCCCACCACCATAGTTCTACCTCATCCAGTAGGGACTGACCTAGGGCAACAGCTTCAGAAACTCAGACTAAATATATAGTTTTAGGGCACTACCAGCAAGAGCCCATTTCCTTGATACTATCCATGTACAAAAATGGGTACCAGGTTGGTGTCTGCCTCTCTGGAAGTCATTTTCCCAACCAAGTGTAGGCATTCTCTAGCAAAATCCATGTGTTTGATTATTATGAGTGGTTAAGCCTTGTTTTCCTATTCCTGATCCATCTAGGAAGTGAAAGGGAACCATAGACCTTCAACTTGTCATTTTGTCAGTGCACCAAGAACCTCTTTCACTTTTACTTCTCCCACAGAGGTCAGTCAGCCTCCGTCTAGTTCTGAACTTTATAGAGTAAGAGAGTGAGCATGTGGGGACTCTGGGGATACGTGTGAAACTTAACGCGTGATTTGAGTTCTGGTCCTTTTTCTGTCTAGGATTTCTTTGAAAGTTCATGTCTGCCTGAATTAGTTGAGAATCAGAATCTAGTGTACAAGTTGTCTCCAGTGGAGTGAGAATATGGGCCTTTGTGAAGAAGTGTGTTTTCAAAATCAGTTGGATAGAAATCCTTGTTTTCCTTTTTGAGTGTGCAGAAATATCAATAAAAGTCTTAAAGCTGGTTCTTTTCCAGTCTAACTGCAGAATGGAATAGGTTGTACAGTATTTGTTACTTAATTCCAAATGCTGTTTCAACCAAGGAAGAAAAACCTAGTTCACTTGGGGAGAGGTGGAGAAAAGACCAGGAGTTGGGGCTCTGCCTTTTGTTTTAAACACAGATTTAATGAGGCTAATTCAGTTGTCTTAATAAGCCTTCCAGTCTTCAGCTAGGGGCTGAAGCAGTAACTGAAACTGTGGGCCCATGTCCCAGAGCCAGGCCCCAAAGTAGTCCAGCCTGACCTGTGACTATGCAAACAGTAAACAGGGCAGGATTGGTCGAAGTCAACTAGGATTTTAAAATCCATGTGGGGTAAACAATGGCTTTGGTACTATCACAAGTAGTACTTTGGTAAATCACATGCAAACCAGTAAGGTCAGAATGCAGACTCAGACCTGCTGGTGAATTAACACAAGCTCTTTAGTATCAACAAAAACCAGTCAGCATTATATTGTAAACCTAACGTTTCAGCCTTGCCTCAGAGTTCTGCCACCTAACTGGCCTAAGCAAAAAAAAAGCCTTAGAAACTGACTCCTTACTCTACTTGCCCCATAGAGCAGGGCCAACTATGCTTTTCATCCCAGCAGGATGATTTTATTTCACATTTCACTTGCTTTCAATATTCATCAATTTACTCAACGGGGAGTGCCCAAGGCCAAAGTCGATTAAAAGTCATCCATACGAGAGATAAGCAACCCTGAACACATCGGCTAGGAAAGCAGCAACTTTTGGAGAAAACCTCATTGCTGGACAGTCAAACCAAGGTGATGTGCAGATCAGAGACTGACAGTTGTCTGAGGACCTTAAGCTCCTATATCAAACTTCTTACCACATATCAGAACACCAGGGTGTCTCTACCTATTGCTAAAAGGCAAGGTGAAGGAAGCCAAGACTCCTTCCTTTAATAAGCTGAATGCTGGCCTGGTAGTGGTATTTGTATTTCAATCAAATTCTAGCAGAGGGGACTTCCCTGGTGGTGCAGTGGTTAGGAATCCGCCTGCCAATGCAGGGGACATGGTTTCGAGCCCTGGTCCAGGAAGACCCCTTTTGCCACGGAGCAACTAAGCCTGTGTGCCACAACTACTGAACCTGTGTGCCACAACTACTGAGCCTGCACACCTAGAGCCTGTGCTCCGCAACAAGAGAAGCCACCACAATGAGAAGCCCGCGCACCGCAACTAGAGAAAGCCCACGCGCAGCAATGCAGCCAAAAATAAAAATAAATAAAAATAAAAAAAATAAATTCTAGCAGAGGGGAAAACACTGAGCCTGGACTTAGTTCATTCCTATCAGTTCTGAGTTTTAAATGAGAACATCCTCATGATGTTCATGAGAAGGCCCAACTTGCACATCAGAACATGATATTCATGTTCATCCTCATGAGACGGCCCAACTTGCACATCAGATTAGTATGACTTGATCAGATAAATTTGATCTCAAACAGAACTCAGCTCCATACATAGTTCAGGATTTGGAGCCATTGCAGAAATTTGGATTTCAGAGTTTCAATTCCACCAAATTATTTTGGAGTAGCAATTTGTTCTAGCACTCCCCCCCCAACCCTTTCTCTATGAGGAAAATAATTACCTTGTAATACAGATTCCCAATGCCACAGGCCATAGACTATAAAGATGTGCTGTGTACACATGGTCAAACACTAAATAGCCAAGGGTTAAAATCAAGTTGAGCTGAGTCTGAATGAGTTCTGGAATGTAAGATTATACCAGAAAATAAGTACTTAAAAATCAACTATTAAACATTATTTAAAATTGGTAGTCAGAACTTTCAAATGCCATTGGAAAGCAGAAACAATTATTCCTGAGCACTGTCAGTTGACAAGAGTGTTTCTGTATTTACTGTATTAGCTTGAAACTCAACTGAAGGCAGTGAAGGAACAAGGTATTTTCTTTGACTGGCTTTGCCAGTGTAGGACAGCTGACAATGATTCTGTCACCAAATTAGTAAGCTCTTGTTCTTCTGTAATGGTAACTAAGGTAACAATCTGTATCTCCTCAACTCCTGGGCTAGAGGTCTAATATGATGCAATTTTGTTGAAGGCATCTGACATGTTTTTGTATTTCCTAAAGAAATGCTCTACGAATACTTTCTGAAAGCAGACTTAAGATTTGTTGTGCCTATGTATATTTTTTCCCCTGACATTTCTGCATGCATTTGTGGCTTCAACGATCACTTGAGAAAAATTTATCCTTAACCCTTGAATCTAGAAATGTGTGATAATTGGCTTTTAAAGATAACAAAATTGCATATCTTCACTTCAACGTGCATTATCAATTTCAGTGTCTTCCATGGGGAAGAATGATGTGGGTTTAAAAGAGCTCAGGAATGCCAGCAGTGACGGTGAAATAGGTTCCAAAGGTTAAGGCTAAAGCTGACTAGCACCCCATCTTGGACAAGCACCAAGACTGAAGGCTAATTTCGGTGCATCTGATGATGGAGAACAGAACCAGATATATCTGCCCACCCCAACTCTCTTAACTAGCTACAGACTGCTCTGCTGCTGCCAACTACAAGGACACACTCAGACCTCTGCAAAGGAAGACCTCTCCAGCTCCATTTATGTCTCCCTAAACTCCTAGGAGGCTTTTTGAAAAAAGTATATCTACACTCAGTTTATTTGGAACAAATGCTTTGCACTAGTGCGTAGAGCTGAACTGATCTCAGTGGAAATCCTATTTCCCCTTTTATAACTGACAAGAATCTAGTCCCATTTTGGCTCTAGAATTATAGGCAGAAAATGATGTTAAGAAAATGGATGACATTTTAATTCACTGATCAAACACAGGACCAATTCCTGAAAAGTTTGGAGAAGCTGACTTTAGCTACGGTCACACAGATCTATGAAATACCTGAGCCAGGATCTAAACCTAACCCCAAAACCTGTATTTCCAAACGTATCATATTTTGGAAGTGCTATCAGGTCACAGAGTGCTGAACGAACTTTGAGCAGTATGAAGACAGAATGATGCGACAATCTTTATAATCTCTGTATCAATTATAAATGCTCAGTGTCAAAGAAAGATTCATACCATACACTAGATTTTCAAGCCTACAGTATTTATGAAATAAAACCATTCAAGTGTGGAAGTTGTTCCCAAAGAGGCTCAATCTATAAAATAATAATAAGGCAAGGAGTGTTTCTGGCAAGACAAGACAAAAATCAAGGATTATAAATCTATAGTTTTATTAAGACAAAAACTGACAGTGTTGGTATGAAGTTTAACATTTAAAAACAAAAGTTTTCACAGAAACCTAACACATGCCTAAAAAGATTTTACAACGGAGTTCTAGATGCAGGTCTAAATGATGTCAAGAACTGATGGATCTCATGATTCAAGACAGCATTTTGGGTTTTAGTTAATTCTTAGGATTAAAAAAATGTGTTTTGTTTTAAAGTGAACCACTGCCCCAGTATGAAAATTTAATCTCCTGAGACCAGGGCTTCAGAAATCATTCAATTCTTGAAGTGACTCAGTGAACTTGTGCTGTCAGTGACTGAACCCTGCCACCAATGGTTTCAAAGTTCAAAAAACAGAGGCTCCAAGAGTTTTCCACCCTAAGAGCACCGGCCCTCGTCTTTGCCTCCTCTCCCACCTCCGGTACCACCCTCTGCCCTTCCCCAGATACTTCAGAGCCAGTGGCTTGGATGGAGAAGCTGATATTTATAACTTCAAGATTGGAGAAGAAAGGGTCTTCTTGTCGATTTCAAGAATTAGCACCTCTAAGACAGAATGATCTGCCTGTGTATACACTCCAATAAGACTTTTCCTCAACCAGTTTCCATCCCCCAAATGGCAGCTTTGGTAACTTCTTAATTGGGAAGTTAAGAAGTTACCAAGGCTTAATGCTTTTTGGGAACAGCATTAAGCTCAGGCAGGCAACACCTTGGCTTCTAAGTTTCAGGCATTCACAGCTTTTAAACAGTCTCTCACAGTCCTCATTTAGGTTGCCAATGACATTTTTTGAAAGGATGAAATATTCTGGACACAGAACCAAATCATCATTAGATGTTCTTTCCTTTCTTTCACCATTTCCCCCCAACAGCCCCCAAATTTTAACAAAAATGATCCTAACCCATCTCCCTTCTTCCCCACCCCATCCCTCCCACCCCAAATAACACACCAGAAATAGCCAAAAACTACATACATGCTACGCTGTAAAAATGCAGAGTTAACACTATTGGGAAGAAGGCTGTGGGTTGTGGAGATGCTCTTTGAAGATCTGCAGTATCTTTTGCTCTCCCACATCCCATTCTGCAAGTTTTGTCCTTCATAGAAGGCCCTTTGCTTTTCTCAGCAAAGTTCAGAATGGGTTGCCTTGAAACACTGACCCTCCTTCCCCTCCACTGGGATGGGTGTGCAAACTATACAGCATGGAGCGGCTTTAAAGCACTTGGGCTGCTGTAGGGCACAGAAACTATACTGGCTCTTCAAAGGACATCTTCTCAAGCCCCCTCTACGGTGTCAAGACAAGTAGAACTCCTTCTTTCCCCACCTGAAACCCACAGTCAGATGTGACAGGGGCTGGTACTCAGGAGAGTTAATTCTTGTCATCTTTTTTGTCATCATCCTCCGAGGGGTAGGAATGCCACGTCAGCCTTTCCTCATAGAAGGATATGACAACCTGTGGGCACTTGACATTAGCTTCCTTGGCAGGGACCAGGTCAGCCTCATCAGAGTTTTTCCTGCAGAACAAAGCACAAAGAGACTTTGAGACCAGGTGCTAGTGGTCTCCTAACTTGGATCACCCAAGGGCTTGGGCTTTTAAAATATTAATTCCAGGCTTCCCTGGTGGCGCTGTGGTTAAGAATCTGCCTGCCAATGCAGGGGACGTGGGTTCGAGCCCTGGTCCAGAAGATCCCACATGCTGCAGAGCAACTAAGCCTGTGCGCCACAACTACTGAGCCCGTGAGCCACAACTACTGAGCCTGTGTGCCACAAATACCGAGGCCCACGCGCCTAGAGCCCGTGGCTCTGCAACAAGAGAAGCCACCATAATGAGAAGCCCGCACACCACAACGCAACAAAGAGTAGCCCCTGCTCACCGCAACTAGAGAAAGCCCGCACGCAGCAACGAAGACCCAACGCGGCCAAAAATAAATTTTAAAAAAAATTTATAAAAAATAAATTAATAAAATATTAATTCCAGAAGAGCAGGCCAGGGAAGGATGATAATATGGTGTAAGCATCATTTACTAGCAGCTTTTAGCCAAGTAATATCCTCGGAGATCTTCTCCCATTGAAAGTGCCCTCTAGATATCTTTGTCAAAAGCTAACTCTGAACCCCTGGGAAAGGCCGCACACACACATACAAAACCATGACTCTCAGAGTCTCTGAGGGAATAAGAGAGGCTACCATACTCTTCCAAAGCCATATCCCAGCTGCTAAAAGCCCATGGAGAGATCTTGGCTTGGTAATAGGATTTAATACCATGTTGGATAGTAAGATTTAATACCAATTTGGCACTGACCAGAGCCAATGCAGGTGGACACTTTCTTGCTTACTCATAATCATACTGTTTAACACTACGAAGTGCCATGCTCACAGACAGGCCACAACTCCCAGGTGCTTTGAACTGGTGCTTCAAAACTGGGAGATAGAAAATAAAGGGACTGTTACATAATTCTCCATATTTTTTCTGAATTTTAAAATGTTCTCAGAAATTGAAAACCACATACATATTACAAGGGACTTAGGAGTAAGCTATCTTCAGGTCATTGGGAACATCCTAGATGGAAGCAATAGCATAGGGCAGGCAGCGGATAGATATATATGATGGGATCTCTGACGAGACACTACCCCAAACTTCCAGAACTCCAGCAACAGGTACACCAAAGCCACACAGCCCCATGGAACCAGGGAAGAGTAAGCCAGTAAGGTATGATTTTGAAAAACAGACAAGGGAATGGGAAGGAAAAGGAGTATAACAGTATGGGAACCTGAAGCAGGCTGCCCCTTGTTGACAATTCAACAACAGCCTTTGAAGTAAGAGTTCAGTCTTTTCACTGCACAGAAAAATAGCTACTTTGGGAAATGAACAAGTATCTCCATTCTCCAGGAAAATCACTTTAAAGTGAACTTGGTTTAATAATCAACATCCAATCTTAACTTGCAGAGTTACATTCAGCTATAATCTTTACACACTAGTGAGTGAACCAAAGGAATGTAGTGTCAAGCAATAAGGAGGTGCTACCATTACTCAGACTGGTCACATGCAGCCAGAGAAAGTGTATTCTAGTTGGACTGAATAAGTCCTGGTATTAATTCCTTTCTCCCATATGCAGCACCTTAAAAATGAACTTTTCTCCTACAGGCTAGCAATAAATAAGCTAAAAGAAGGTCAGAGTCAGTAAACACCTAGGGAATGCATGGGAAAAAAAAAGAGGTTTAACTGGTTGTGCCATAGGCTTTCAGTGTTCAAGTTAGGCCTCTCCTGCCACCTTCTAAAGGAGAGGAATTAGTACAGATGTGAGTTTCCGAGAAGGTTCTAGACTGACAAAAGGACAAAGCCCCTAGAATGCTGCCTTCTTTGGCACAGGCTTAGGATTATTCACTCCTAATTTATATTTTAAGGACAATGATTGAGCTCCACTTTGGGGGGGAGGAGAACAAGCACTTCCAACAAGCAAGAAAAAGGGAAGAAAGCTTTCCTTTTGGACAGAGAATAGAGAAATTATAGAGAATTTTGGGTTAATTACAGTTCTTAAGATTCTCAAGACAACTGCTTTCATTAAGCTGTTTCATGGAGTACTACCACCACTGGTATTTACACTTACAATGGAAAAAAGCAGGCTTCTCTCTATGCTTAGTATAGTAAAGGGGCCTTGCTGACCCCTGCTGGCAGATACTGCAATTGTAGAATCTGCACAAACTGGCAGTCAAGGACAAAGGAAGAGCTACAGAAATTCTTTCCTAACCCTGAGAAGTTAACAGAATTTCTGATCCTGGGGCCAGCCCGATCTTTATTAAGGAGGTGGTGGAAGGGGAGGGTGGTTCAATCACATTTCTTTTTTTCCCCCTTTATTTACATGAGTGAAATGTGATTCCTCCCCATACCCTCTGTACTCCAGATTGTCTCCCACCTCCTAAAAAAAAATGGGCAAAGATCCGAGAATCCTAAGAGCCCCTACCTGTAACTCACGAGTCCAGGTTGGCAGTCAGGCCGAGGGTCACTATCGAAGGACTATGCCATCTTAAAGATTTCACACCTGGGCGACTGGAATTTTGAAGGTCCAGCTCTTTTCCTCTGGCATGGAACAGATGTGGAGAAGAAAAAAACAACCACACAGAGCCACTGGCAGACTCACCATTTCATCAGGAACATGAGTTCTCCACTGGAGTCTGTAGCTCCAATAATCCGCTCCGGTTCCAAACCCCGGGCAAAGCCTCGTGGCTTTTCTGACTGTAAAAACCACAGAGATGGAACAATTTTAACTATATGGGACTGTTATCCGGACTGGAGCAACTCCTGTTTCTCTGACAATGTTATCAAACCCTTTTGCCAATATTTCACCAAATCTTTGGCTCTAAGTCACAAGCCTTTTAGAATCCTTCTGAGTGATTATTCCATCGAGTTTTGAAATGCTTGAGGTTTCCCCATATGTAAAAAGGGACCCACATCTCAAGCAAAATAAATGTTCACAACTGTTCTTCACCCTCAAAAGGTACCTTACTTTACGGTATTGAATAGATTAAAACCTGTAATGATTAAAACATTGACAACCATCTCCTCACAGGAATGAATTCCCTTGCACTTACTGTTCTTGAACCTCACATAAAATAACAGTAGATTATGTGGCTTCATGAGATTGAACCCTCAAACATTTTTTTTTTTTTTTTTTTGTGGTACATGGGCCTCTCACTGTTGTGGCCTCTCCCGTTGCGGAGCACAGGTGCTGGACGCGCAGGCTCAGCGGCCATGGCTCACGGGCCCAGTCGCTCCGCGGCATGTGGGACCTTTTCGGACCGGGGCACGAACCCGTGTCCCCTGCATCGACAGGCGGACTCCCAACCACTGCGCCACCAGGGAAGCCCCTCTCAAACATTTTTAAAGCATTAGCCTATCTAACATTCCAAAAGGATTGAGAGCCAGCTGCTGAGATCTAAGGAGCAGCAGAACAAAAGTGCTTAAATTATCTTTCAGCTTCTTTGACAGCAGCATGAATTTTAGGCTAGTAAAAATTCTTACTTCGAGCCTTACCTCTTCTTTCTTCTTCTTTGGTTTGCTCTCCTCCCCCTTATCTTCCGAATCAGAATCAGCTTTGCGCTTGCCTCCCTCTGATTTATCTGTCTCGTGTGCTGTTTTCTGTGACTGCAGGAACTCAGCAATGAGGTCGGGGCAATCCAGGTTTTCTTCTGGCTCCCATGTGTTGTCCTCACTGAAACCAGAGGCACACGAGTCACCCTTTCCACTCAAAGTTAGCACACTCACACTAAGGAGAAGCACAGGAGGACAAAAGCTGGTGTCCTTGGAACAGAGGAGTTAATGATAAAATATAACTGGATTCTGTCCAAGACCAAGAACTTGACAAAGTTGACATTTTTTGGGAGGCGGTAGGGGGCTTTTTAGTACAAATTGAAAGCTTAGAAACTTGCCTCCTTCAAAAGAAAGTTACTCTCTCTTTGCAAACTTGGATCAGTGTAAAGCCACACACAAAACTGCTCATCAGAAATCAGTCTTGCATGATAGCACTTTGTACATGTAGGTCATTTTCCTAATTAAACTATAAGCCGTGAAGGCCAGGCCTGAGTCACAATGTACCCATCAGTGCACCCTGGGTCATGCACATTACCAGTCTCCTGAGAAATAGTTGGTGACCAAATGAATGGATTTTCCTGGGTCAATGAAACTTACTCTGAGAACCCCTTCCACTTTAGGAGGTACTCCACTTTGCCCTTTACCACTCGACGGTCAAGAACTTTTTCCACCACATATTCTTCTTCTTCTTCTTCTAGCACCTCCTCCACTTTCTTCTTGTTTTGTTTTTTCCCCATAGTGCCCGCCAGCTTTCTGGTATAAAGGGTGACGCTGCTAAAATGATAAAGGAAATAAAAAGGACATTAGGGTACACTCTTAGGAGAATATTTGGATAAAACCAGGGACATCATCGATGATTTTAATAGTGCATGCTTGGGACTTCCCTGGTGGTCCAGTGGTAAAGAATCCGCCTTCCAATGCAGGGGACATGGGTTCGATCCTTGGTCAGGGGACTAAGACCCCACATGCCATGGGGCCACCAAGCCCATGTGCCACAACTACTGAGCTCGTGCGCCTCAATTAGAGAGCCTGTGTGCCGCAAACTACAGAGCCCACACACTCTGGAGCCTGAGTGCCACAACTAGATACAAAACCTGCACGCCAGAACCAGAGAGAAGCCTGTGTGCTGCAACGAAGAGCCCGCATGCCTCAACGAAGATCCCGCATGCCGCAACTAAGACCCAATGCCGCCAAAAATAATAAAATAAATAAGTAATAAATAAATCTTACAAAAAACAGTGCATTCTGCTTCAATAAATGTTATGCCTATTCATCTTCAATACCCAAGAGTTTTCTATGTTCAGCTAGAAAGTTAGTTTTCTAAAACAGCCCCAACTAATCTCACAGCAAAACTTCTTTATTCTTGCATATCCACTTAAAACTTTTATACCCATTCCTCCTAAGTTAAAAAAGCTCCCAGTACCCCTTTACTTATGGTATCTAAAATATTACATTAATTTGAAAGAAAAAAAGCAATCCTCTTAAAAATAAGGTCTATACATCAAACCTATATACATATAATCCTCTGATCCATACTTTCTCCTAATTCTCTGAATGTTTTTCAATTTCATCACAGTATTGGACTTGGATTTTTACTAAGGGAAATGGCTTGTCCTATTTATTAAACATCTAGTTTAATTTTCCCTTCTGTATATGCATATATAATATAAGCAATTCTTCTGCATTGTTAAACACAATCTCTTTTGAGTCCCCTTAAGGTTCTTTATGTAGTCTTTTCTGAATGCCACCATTAATTTATAATTCTCAAGTTTCTTGTGAACTTTTTATTCTACTTTTTATTTCTAAGGCTGAGAAGGATTCATAAAAATGCCAGAATGACCATGGGATTCTCTAAACAAATTTGGAAATAAATGGGGGAAAAAAGGTGTGTATCACAGATAACAGAACCTGAATTTATTCTTTTGTAAAATATATCATCAGGCTGGGTAACCTCTAAGGGTTTTTCCAGTGCTAAAATTCCAGTCCCCTATAAATCTGTTTTCTTTAGTCCTTCATACAACTCTTGACTGTTGGTAAGCATAAAGCCTTATGATTACAAATGTGTCAGTAGGTGGCGCCATAAGATATCTATACAACAAAATCGATCTACAAAACTGGCTGCAATCTACAAATTGATAGATACATTAGCTGCCCAGAAGGAAATAACAAACAATCAAGAGTATGGCAGATGATCCAAGACAAGAAAGTAGTTACTACCATGTTTCATGTTTGAATTTAAGGCAATGCTAATTGGGGTTTAAACTGGTTATTCCTAGCATCCTTGGGAAAAGGAGTCAGTGAAAGTAGGCTCTTCTAAATAGTTTTAAATTGGCACGTGTAGACAGAACGTATTTTAGAAAGAGTTCATCTATAGACTATATGAAATATAACAAACCTTTACTAAAAGTCGGGCTCATCAATATGAATCAGTTATAGTATCTACAGATGCTTATTTAGGTTTATACTCTGAGATATTCTCATGTCTGCATATATAAGCAATGCTGACTTACTGAAACAACAAACATTTGGCTACTAGAAAATTCTGCATTGCTGGAGGCTGGAGATTCAAGAGAGTAAGTAATGGTCCCTGTCTTCCTGAAACCTAATGTCTGGTAAGAAAAAAATATAGATACCTCTTCCACTAAAGGTATTCTGAACTTTTGCTGAGTGGCACACACACAAAGTTTTCTGAGATGCTTTCAGTGTGGCCTAAGGCCACACCCAATGCCCCTGTCCACACAGTTCAAAACACACATCCGCGCTGAGACTGTTCCTCTCCATTTACATACCAAAGATTCTGCTTTCCTTCCCTCCCCAAACAATCTTTTAGTGCCATGAGTTTTCCTTTTATTGTTACTGAACAGACTAATCAGTGTACTGAATGTTACCTTTTGCTAATTATTGGCTAGCTTCATTGTGCCTCTGATTCAGAGCCTGTTGCTTCTTCCTGGAGGGAGATACTTTCAGGTTTTCAGAATTCTGATTGCCATGACAAGTGTTATAAGGAAAGGAAAAAAAGTCTAACTTTTCTTTTGGATAAATGCAGTAGTGTTTGCTCCGAAGAACAAGTGCTACTCCTTGCTTGCTTCCTTTCACTGTCAGTTGAAGGGGTGGCAAGATTCATGCATCAGTTAATGTGCAAAGAAAAATAAATTGACAATCACCTTTCAATAACAAAGGGTACCACAACTCCCTACGTTAGTTTGGACTCAGAAATTGGAAGCTACTCCCTTTCTCAACAGACAGAAAAACAACGGGTTACAGACAACCCCAAACCAGTAACTGTCCCCTAATAACCCCTCTCCCAAGTAATTAAATTTAAGAAAGTAAAGGAAAGGCAGTCTTATCACTCTGGCTTCAGAATTCAGAGATATTGAAGGCTCTGTGTTATCTACATTAATAGCTACATTTGTCTTACAAAAAGAAATAACACTGAATCCTGCCCATCTGATCCTGTTACTACAAAACAAAAAGGTAGGGACAGCTTCTAGCTCATCTCTAGCTACTGCAGGCCTCCCCTCCCTTTATCGTTAGCATGGCCTCAAGGAGAAAGAGTCATAGCATGAGAATATAATCCTTTAGGTTAGGTAAAGAAAACCCCCAAATAGGGAAATCTAGAGTGAGACCGCTTGATTTTCATCTTTACTCACTTAAATTCATTGTCCTAAGAGCAACTCAAATGAGAAGTGAAGAACGTTGAAAACACACTTCCATTTCTCTCTTTTGAGTTTTCTTAACTGGCTCATCCCAGCATTTACCTCCAGGGATTGGATTCTCTTTATATTGGAGACTCTCAGCCAGGCTTCCCAGTGTGAGTTTTTTCCTTATTTATAGGTACTTCTCTGGGGTCCTGAATAAACCATTTGTCAAAATCAGTAGAGAAGTAAATACACAACCCACTCTTCCTACAGAATCTATTGATAGCACCTTCAGACAAGCCAAGAGCTCCCTTAAATATTATGACAGGCCAATTATTTGCATATAGTTTCCAAATCGATTATTTCAAGAGAGACCACCTCTCCCTGAATATGGCAATCTCCAAATACCAGCAGTGACATCTGGAAGGAGGGCTTTCAACTGGAATTGCTTGGCAAGGCTATTCAAAGTAACTCAGATCAGCGTAGTAGCACAATGGAAAAATGCCTTTAGTCAATGCTATTTGCCACTCTCCCTAAATATCCTGGCAACCAAATTATGGCATAAAAAGTGCCATAATCATTGAACAAAGGGTCAAGGTATATACTAGAACATCACAAGATGTACACAAGGGCGAACAGTTCTAAATTAACTCAGAAATCTTAGGGACTTCCCTGGTGGTCCAGTGGTTAAGGCTCCGTGCTCCCTATGCAGGGGGCCTGGGTTTGATACCTGTTCGGGGAACTAAGATCCCACATACCGCAATGCATCCCATGCGCCGCAACTACTGAGCCCACGCGCCACAACTAGAGAAGCCCTTGCACCGCAACGAAGACCCAGCGCAGCCTAAATAAATAAATAAAAAGATTAGAAAAGAATCCTTGGACAAGTCTTCTTAAGGGGACTTCCCTGGTGGCGCAGTGGTTAAGAATCTGCCTGCCAATGCAAGGGATATGGGTTCGAGCCCTGGTCCGGGAAGATTCCACATGCCATGGAGCAGCTAAGCCTGTGCGCCACAACTACTGAAGCCCGCATGCCTAGAGCCCGTGCTCCGCAACAAGAGAAGCCACCGCAATGAGAAGCCTGCATACCGCAACAAAGAGTAGCCCCACTCACTGCAGCTAGAGGAAGCCTGCACACAGCAACGAAGACCCAACGTAGCCAAAAAAAAAAAAAAAAGTCTTCTTAAGGCTCATCACGATGTTTCAGACAAAAAATCCTTAACCTAGTTAAGCTGCTACAATTTTACCTAAATATTTACCGGGTCTGCTACATTTTAAGATGCCTAGAAAAATAATACGTTACATTTGTATTGCACTTTACAGTTTACAAAGTGCTACCATGTTATCTCATTTGATCTTTGAAACAATCCTATAAATTAAGCCATTCAGATGTTATTGACACCTCAGAGATAACACAATAAATTTACATGAAATAAATCTTCTAAGGTCACACAATTAACAAAAAATACAGCACTTCAGTGTGGACATCTCCCAGCAGGACTGGGCTAATGGCCCTGCTGCACACACAGAACTAGGAGCTAGCTACACACTTACAGGAGAAATTTCCCTCCAGCCTCTACGAGGACAGGACTGAAAGGTCTGACTTCAGTCCTCTCTACAATTTGTCATCAGTAAATAAGGAAGTGCGGATAATGATTTTCTTTCAAAAAAGACCTTGGAATATGTATAGGTGTTTAAAAACCAATGATTTTTTATTGGTTACTGGAATATGGAAGGTATACATTGTTAATTAAATCAGCAGGCAGTGGCAAAGCTTTGGTTTTTAGGGCCCCAGCAGTCTTCTCAGTCTTTTAAATTGACAAGTGCTAGATGGTGCAGAAGTTTTGAATTTTTGTAGCCCAGAGAACTACTGAGAAAATGCCAATTTTAAGAACCCCAAATTCTTCTATAGTGTCCCAATAAATCCAGGAATAGTGTAAATCTGAAGCAAGAGTCATGAACTCATAGTTCTTTTAAGAGAAAGAAAAAGCACAGTTGCAATTCTCCTGGATACCCCCTCCACTCCTACAGTTAGGAGCTAGAAAATGGAAAGGAGGAACAATGCTACTTGCAGGCAGAGGCAGTGAAGTATCAGACACAGGATTAGGCATTCTGGTTTTGAATACAGGCAGACCT